TGGTTGTTCCAAACTCAGATGTCTGTGTCTCAGGTTTGGAAGATAGCTTCATGGTCATCTGTGCACACTTTTAAAACCATTTTACAAGTTGATGTGTTTTCATCTTCGGCTGCTTGTTTTGGCTGTAAATATTGAGCTAAACAAAACACATAATTAACTACTTCAAGTCCGGACACTTTCACCCCCTTCCTGTCCATGCCAATTTGCAGCTTTCAGTGCTATCACACTTTGAATGACAGTTGCGCGGTCATGCAACACTGTACCCATATTCATTTTTTAGCATTTTTTTTGAGACCGATAAAACTTTATTTTGGTGGTATTTATTCACCACTGTATTTTTTATTTTTTTTGCTATGTAAATGAAAAAGTCCAAACAACATATTGAAAAAAAAGTTTTTCTTATAAAATTTTGCAAATAATCTTCATAAATCTTCGCCAAAATGTATTCATCTATCTTTTTAGTTAAAAAACAAAAAAAACAAAACCCATATTAGTTTATAACCAAAATTTTATAATTTTTAAAAAAACTTTTGGACATTTTTTTGTTTTATTTTTTTATAATTTTTTTGTTTTTTTAACATACTGTCACCCTAGCAGTACGGTGTCACCATAGTGACACTGTACTACTTGTGGTGGGTGATGAAGATTTTTTTTTTTTTTACACTGATCTATAACCCATAAAGGCTGTAAAAGCAATTATTTCTCCTTCTCTCTGGCTGTATTCTTGCAGCCATTGAGAAATACTGTGTGAGCTGTGATTGGTCACAGGTTGTCACATGGTACAAGGCTGTTGTGAATAGCCTTGCACCATGTGATCTCTGTGATCATTCACAGATTTCACTAGTAGTAAGCAATGATGTCAGAAGTGACATTGTGCTTACTACTCTTGATCACTGATTGGCCAATCAGTGATCACATGATCGGGACCTCACACAGAGGTCCCGTACAGCTATCGGTGTTCGGGTACCGGATTATGGTGCCTTGCGCTCCCAGGGGGCACGCACAAGCGGGGAGTGGGGAGGACGTTTATAAACGGCCCACCCGCTCCTGCAATGCTCCCGTCTGGCCGTTTATATACATGGGCCAGACCGGAAGTGGTTAATTATCATTCTTCATCCTGGTATAAACATCATAGAATGACATATTATAAACATGCTATGGGTGGGAGGGAGAGACCTAGGAGACCACATCCACTGGGGTCCCAGGGGATGGTACTGCGTCAGCCATGCTGTTACTCAAATGCACAAATATAACTCTATATAATATGTTAGTTATCCAAAATACAGCAAAGGATTTCCTTAGTTTTATACATGGCTACACTGTCATCTATCATCTTAGAGGAGATATTAGCGACAAAAAGAGGGGAAATATTTTAAAAAGCATTTTACCTCCAAGCAGTAGCCAGCATACAAAACTCCGCTATAAAAATATTGTCTCTGAGATAGATTGGTGGTACAAAGAGCACTCTAGTGATGGACCCACGCTTGTGTCTATTTATAGTTTCCTCTTGCCACACAGCATCCTCCCATTTAGCAGATATAACAAAGAGGGAGATGCTGAGTTTAAAAAAATTATTTTGTTACCAATTACTATTTACCAGTTGTGCTGTATCTTACTGGCATTGGGATGCACAGGTGTTATATGCTTCCCGTGCCGACAGTCCTATACATGTCTGTTATGGTAAAGCGGCTACACTGACACAGCTGCTGGGTCCAATGTGACACATTGCGGGTGCATGGCCCCAAATGTACCCAGGATGTTTTTGAGGACATGCACTTGTGCCCAAACAAAGGACATATTGGGACCAAGTGGCTTTGTCCGTGCATGGCCATGTTTACCTCCATGAGGATGCATGGAACACCTGTGCGCCACCATGTGGGTAATCGCAACCTTGCACAGGGCGCATATCAAAATCGCCCCCATGTGGAGGCCTTTGCCAAGCTGACTTTTGGCCTATCCTTTGCACTCAGTATTCACTGTAGTGCTTGCACCTCTACTTGACCTCTTCTGAAGGATTTATCTCCCTCAAAACATTCTTCAAACATCCACAGGACTATTCAGATTCTCCAGGCTTTTTGGCTGGGTGATCAACTTTCAAGTATATTTCCTCCAGCCTTACCATCTTCTGGAATACTTAGGCCTTATTCTAGACACAGTACAGGCAAACTGTTTCTTCTCCTACTCAGACCTTAGCATTCAAAAGACTTACTCAGTGAGATTTTCCTTAAGCCTTATAGTTGTCTCATTCAAGTCTGTTTTCTTTGCTCACTTCCACTCAAGGCCTCGAACACAACATTCTATTGGCCAGGAATACACTCTATCCCTTGACTTTCCCTATGCTTCTCTACACTCAAGCAAGAAACTCCAGAGCCTGGTACATTTCCAGTCCAGTCATTTCTTTCACTGTCATAGAAGGTGGTAATAGATACAGCCTCGCAGGATGGGGAGAGGGGTGTTATAACCTCACAGTTATGGGAACCTGGTGAGCCAGGAACGCAAAGCAACTCTGCAATAAAATTGGTTTGTCCCTCTTCTTCAATGACACTCACCAGAAAGGTTCCAAGAGTCAGGAAGCCTTGAACAAAGTCTGAGTGGAAAAACACAGCCTAGCAATCTCTGCTGTTAGCATCCCAGGAGGGAAAAAATTGAATGCAGACTCGCACAGTCTTCACTGGCTGGACCAAGGGGAATGATCCCATCATCCCAGCATCTTTAGTCTCTCATATCAGAAATGATGGAACAAGTTACTTCTGTTTGTGGCAAGGATCCTCTAGCACTAGCATTGCTTGCTCTGATAATTCCTTGGAGTCCGTTCAGGTGAGTATATACCATTCCTCTGGTGCAAATACTTTGTTGTCTGTTACATAAAATAGAGGAATAAAAGAAATCAAGGTTTCTCATCACAGCCAGACATGCCCAGAGGAATGTTGTACAAGCTTCTAGGAGATGACCCCTGGCATCAAACAGGCTAGACCTGTATCAAGGACCCCTGCTCCATCCTGCTGCTCAGTCGCTGGCTTTTATGACATGGCTGTTGAAACCCAAGTCTTGAAGAGTCAGGGGTATATCTGACTCTTCCAATCCCACATTACTCAAAGCCAGAAAAGCCACATCAAGACAAATTTACTATCGTACCTGGAATTCCTTTTTGCCAGGTGTGAACAGGCATTTTAACATGAAAGTTTTCATTCTGCCTTACATTTTGGTCTTTCTGCAGTTGGCACTTGACCAGAATTTGGCCTTAGGTACTCTTAAAGGACAGGTTTCAGCCTTTTGTTCCAAAACACCTCTGGCTTTGTATTCTCTTGTTAGCACCTTTTATTAAAGATGTTTCTCAGATTAGATTACCCTTACAACACCCTTTGTCTCTTTGCAATCTTAAATTGGTTCTCTGCCCCACAAAACCACCTTTTGAACCCATCAGAGAACTCCCTTTGGATGATATCTTATGCAAAGTGGCTGTCACATCTGTCAGGTATGTTTTTGAGCTGATGACTCTCATGTAAGGAACCATTCCTGATCCTACATAAAGACCTAATTTTTCTACCAAAGATGGTATCTTCTTTCCACTTTAATGAAGACCCAGTGTTTCCCTCCTTGTGTCCTGCTTCTAAATACCCCAGAAGAAGTTGGCCTTCATTGTCTGGCTACTGTCAGAGCTATCAGAGTATATCTGAAAGCCACAGCTTCTGTCAGAAAGATTAATTCTTTGTTTTGTCATCAGGGCCTTGCAAAAGACATCCTTCTTCAAAATCCACTATTGCTAGGTGGCTAAAATGACTCTTCAAGAACTTACACTCTAAAGCAAGGGTCTCCAAACTGCAGCCCTGAGGGCCGGATATGGCCCTTTGCTACTCTTTTTATCCAGCCCTTGGGGCACTATTACTCCCACGGAGACCAACAATGGGGCAGCACTTCTTACATTGAAACCAATGATGTTGTACTATTCTTCCCACTAATACCAATTATGGAACACTACTCCTCCTACTGACCATCAACCCAGAGGCCATGTTTATTCTCACTGATGCTGGGGCGGGACATTTTCTATCGTCACTGGCCTTAATCCGGCCCTCGTAAAGTCTGAAAAACTATATACTGGCACTTTGTTTGAAAAGTTTGAAGACCCCTGCTCTAAAGGATAAAATGCTTCCACTAGGTTTGTTGAGTGTTTCCTGGGCATTCTGACATCGATCATCTTTTGCTCAACTTTGCAAGGCTGCCACCTAGTTTTCAGTTCATACCTTCTCCAAGTTCTACCTTGTGGACATCCAAGCTTCTGCATATCCTGGTTTCAGACACAAGGTTCTTGCAGCAGCACTCAGAAATTAGTCCCCTGATCCTTGTTATTGTTGGGTTTGTTGGCACAGTTTTGTTTGCCTTGTTGGCAACTTTTCTTCATTGTTTGGGCATGTCTCGGGGTCTATGAATATCCAGCCTGTGTCCTGTACTGTACAATTAAGATGAGAGGAAATTTTTAAATTCCATATCATGGAGTACAATGCAGGTCACAGGTCACCCCCTGTTCTGTTACTCTGTCACTCTGTCACTCTGCATTATTTTGCTAAAAAACGAGGTCTCACAAAGTGGGGAAGGGTTTTAAGGGTACCGCCAGTGGACATGTCCAGCAAAGCTTTGTCAGTGTCTAATCGCCTGAAGTTAGCCTATAACCCAGGTTCTATGAATATCCATCCTGTGCTCTGCCCTGTATTTTACTATACTGTAAAACAAGGAATATACAGATACCTCACCTAGTGGATGGAGGAATCTGGATGAACATTGGCTGAAAAAAAAATACTACATGTATGGCAAGCTTTAATTTCCCAAAAAACTGACAGGGACTCTAACCTCTCACTACTTTAACCAAAACTGGAAAAAAAAAGTTTGGGCTTCTAAGTCGACTTTAGAATGAATTTTGGTGACAGATGTGTTATAGAATACTATTCAGTAGCAGAGTAGCAAGATTGCACATTGGAACCTGTCCTTTAATTCACTTTACAGAAGCATTTGATCCACTGAATAAAGGTTCCACTGCGTTTGGCCGGTCTCGAGGCAGACGAAAACACAGAGATGGATTTCCCCAACCCAAAAGACGGGTAAGTGGGAGCCTCATATCCATATAAATCCTACTAGTAAAGGAGGAACTCAATTGTTTCTATAGAATTAATGTTTTTTTGGGGGGATGTCCTGCTCCTGAGTACATGGCTGATGCAGTTCTTTGTATTCGTGGAAATACTTCCCTTTCATAGAAGCAATAAGCAAATCAATATTTTGCATATTTCTGTAAACGTTGGTGTTAGGGTCAAATGGTAACAATTGTGATGTCTTTTGCGTGAAGCTTTTTGTAATTTATTTTTTATTTCACAAATGCAAGTTCATATTCAGTATGCATTTCTCTGTAATGTTTAATTAGCCTTATCCATACGGACTAAGAAGTGATCTTTGTGTTGCATAATTTATGCCTTATTGTGCCCACTCTTGGCTGAAGATAAGCATCTGCCTTGAAGTTGATTTTAATAGGATTAGCCCACAAATTCACAAACCTGAAAAGGCACAATTCCTATGAATAATCCTCTACTTCATTTATTGTAGGAGCTGAAAACATATTCTATTGGCACATTAAGCTACAATGTTTACTCTTGGTTTGGTTGGATAACATAAGCATAATTTCATAAGTCCAGAGTACTAAGTGTCCCAGAGCCTTTTTTCACCATTTGTGTGCTGTTCTTGTATTTGTAAAAAATCTCAATCTAAATTCTTACTCAGAATTGTATTGGTAATTATGTTAATTGTGCACCTGTCTTTCATTTTTTTTTTTTTTTACTTTTTTCATTTATGCACTTGCTTCACATCTCATAGGCATTGAGATTAGAATGGAAATGTTGCACTCCAGTCTAGGTTCCATTAAGGTGAAGGATTCCCTCATACATGCACACATTACAAAGACTATTTCAGATATAAAGCTGACACATGAACAATTTAATGTCAATACCATGGTAGTCTGTACAGTGGCAGTGCATGCACTAGAAAGTTTGCATCATCCTCGGTCATTGTCTGCGAGTACAGAAACCCTCCATCTGCTTTTAAGACCAATTCAATTCAGTTGTGAAAAATATACATTATTGTGCATATGATGCTGTTTCAATAAATGAAAGCAAATCAACTGAGTCCAGATATAACTTCACGGACAGGTCACAGCATGTGTTTTATTTTATAGGGTCGTAAGAAGTCAGTGGTAGCTGTGGAACCACGAAACCTTATTCAAGGTTCATATCCTGGATGTTCTGCTTTAGGTTCCACGTTAAAGTATATGTATGGGGTAAATGCTTGGAGGAATTGGGTACGGTGGAAAAACTCTCAAGAGGAGCCAGAAGACATCAAGTTTGGAGGTAAATTCAATCATTAAATCGGGTAACCAGTATATATAATACAACTGTGGCACCAGATTTCAGATATTTACTGTATAGGAGATGTTTCTTGTGTTTTTCATGTAGTGGGCAAGCAGGATAGGCTTATTGATGAGTTCACAAGAAACAGTCTGTTGGAGTACCCATTGGATGGTCTATTAAAACATTCAATGGTAGGTTTTACTTAAGAACTGTTTTTACCAGGAATGACATGCAAGCATTTTTCTCTTTTCACGGCAGTCCATATTGTAGGACTCTTTGCTTTACTAACTGTGTCACCCTGGAGAATAAGACTAGAGTACATAGTGACAGAGCTTGCAAAACTGACAAGCAGCTTTTTTGTAGATCTGTTTTCTCATTGCCAGTACAGTACAGTTCAGTTCAGCATGCATTCCTCTCAGATGCCCTGATTTTTAAATTTTTTTTTAGTACAATTTTTGGTGTGCGCCAACTAGAAGATTGGAGAAGTGTGCATTTCTATTATGTAATTTGTATGGTTCATGTTTACCTAACAGACTTATTAAATCCTTTAAAATTTCTCATTTCCTTACCTTTCTCTCCTAGTGCGACCTGTAAAGTTAAAAGAAGATATTCTATCATGCACCTTTGCTGAACTAAGTTATGGTTTGTGCCAGTTTATTCATGAGGTACAACGGCCAAATGGAGAGAAATACAATGCAGACAGCGTCTTATATCTGTGCCTTGGAATTCAGCAGGTAAATGATAGCAATGGTTTTAACATCCATTGCCAACAGTGTCTATCTGTTCCACCAACCATAAACTGTTTTCAATTATTTTTTTTAAACCACTTGCTGGTCTAGAAATGGTGGCATCCCCAGACACCGTGACATATCCGTATGTTGTGGTGCTCATACTCACTAGGGCGCACAGCGGGGCGATCCTGTAACCTCTGTGTCCAGTGGACACTGGTCACAGTGCTTGGTACCCAGTATTATGTGATCGCTATGATCAATGATAGTGATAACATGTAAGCAAAAATTGTCATGAATGGCTTTAATTCATGACAGTTTGCTTACTATTGTGATGCTGTGATTGACCCACAGCTATCACATGGTACCTAGGCCAGTCACAGGACCCTGTACCATGTGATTATCTGTGGTCGATCACAGCATCACAATAGTAAACAATGAGTCATGAATGAAAACCATTCATGACAGTTCAAACGATTGCTGTTACAGTGATTATACTGTAACAAGCATACACTGTGTAAACAAAAAAAAATCCCTGATCATCCCCCAAACCTCAGAGTAGTAGAGTGTCACTATGGTGATACTGACCTACTCTGATAGTATGAAAAAAGTTGTGTTAAAAAAAACCAAAAACATTTATTCAGTTTTTTTGTTTTTTTTAATACTGTAACCAGTCAGTATCCCTGATCATCACCACACTAGTCATATGACAACACTGTGCAGCACTGGTGAGAGTATGTTAAAAAAAAAAGTTTTATTTAATTTCTTAATGTTACAAAAAATTGTGACAAAAATTACAAATTCACAAAACTTGCTATGCCTCTTATTAAACTCCTTGCACTGTCTGCTTTCCAAAAAAGGGATAATTTGGGGGGTATTTGTACTGTCCTGGCATTTTAGGACCTAAAGAACTGAGATAGGCATACCAGTGATCTCCAAACTGCTGCCCTTTGTTTACCTTTATTTGGTCTTTGAGGCTTTATTCATGCCACTGACTCCAACAATGGGGCACTATTCCTTCCACTGATACCAACGATGGGGCATAATTTCTTCTACTGACAACAAAAATGGGGCACTATTCCTCCCAATGACACCAACTATTTTTCCCCCTAATATCAAAGATCTGGTTTTGTTTACTCCCACTGAGCACAGTCCAGCCCACTAACGTCTGATGGACAGTAAACCCCTGACAAATACCATAGTTTGTAGATTCTATAACTTTCACACAGACTAATGAATATACACTGATTTGGGTAATTGTTACCCAAGAAATGTATCAGAATACATTTTGGCCTAAATGTATTAAGTGGTGATTAAATACTACCGAAAGAAAGCTCTATCTGTGTGTAAAAAAAAAAAAAAAAAATTATATAAATTTAATTTGGGAACGATATTGCATGATCAAGCAGTTGCCAGTTAAATTAGCACAGTGCTAAATAGCAAAAAAATGCCCTGGTCATGGAGGGGGTAAAACTCAGGGGTATGTCCACTATAACAGGCAAAACCTGGACCCATATAGGAACCAGAAACATCAAAAGGTAAAACAGTTTGTCCTGTTGTTAGACTGATACTACAGTTTTGGAGCAAGTATGAGAATCCATACCTCCATTACTAGCTGTACACTTAAGTGTCCCCTGAATAGTATTCATTTTTAGGTAAAACTATTAGGAAGCCGGGCGTGTTTGAATTTATTCACTTATCTGGTGTTTAAAAATTGCAAACTTGGCAGTAAAATTTTCACCATTTAGAGCTGGGCTCAAAGTGAATGGCTAGGTGTTACGTGACACCAAAGGTCACACTATTATTACCATTCTGTCAAGAGCCCTTATAAGATACTGAGACCCCGCCCACCCCTTTTGACTTCCTAACAGGACAGTTGACGCCTAGGCTACTGTATATCCTCCTATGAATGTGTGTACTTGATTGTCACACCCTACTTTTGTGAGTATCACAAAGGGGTATACCCTCACTGATAGCAGTGGCAAAACCAGGTGCAAAGGAACGGCTGCAAAAACACTCTGTCAAAGATTGCAAAACACTCAAATTGCTCACGTTAACAATGTTTCCCTTTATGTCAGTCACCATTGTTCTCTGCATCTGACTTTAGCTGTATCTCAAACAGCGATCTATCTAACCAAAGCAGATTTCTTTGTTATAACAGACTTTTTCAGACAGCTAATGGCCTTAATACAGGCATTACTGTCTAAAGTTCAAAAGCACCAGACTACTTCTCCATCCTGCCCTTTTCTACCTGACTTGAAAGTGGATCTGCCTGCTTTAGAAGCCATAGAACCAGAGGAGAATGAAGAGGACCTGGAGACGGTACTAGAGCAGGCCACCGTAGATTTCTCACCCCCAGGCTTCTGTACACTTAATACTATGACTTCATGCAAAATGCAAGCCCATGTAGACACGCTCATATCTGCTGAATGTAAAAGCCTCAGCATAGTTGCACTTTATTCTCTTCTACCTCCCCAGGCCCCTCTAGGTGCTAAGATACCTGCAATGTCTAAGGGCTCGTTCACACCATACATGCATGAAAGCTGTTGGAAACCGATGCGCAGAATTCACTTGCAGAGACATCCGTTTTTCATGCGTGTCTCGAGTTTTATACACATTGCAGATTCCTGCTCAGAAAACTTCTACACATAATACTAGTGTTGTGGTGTGAACAGGGCACATGGAGAACAGTTGTTTTTGTTTTTCCCCTGCAGAACACGTGCAGAAAAACTGACGTCTCTGTAAACTGGTGTGAATGAGGCCTAAAACGTCTTTCCCCATTCATGATCAATTAGAATGGGCAGTTTATGGCAGTTGCGGTACGCCTGAAAAGTCCTTTGAGAATTATTGATGGGTTATATCAAGCAGAAACAGAATGTGAACTGTTCTGGTATTAGACCCTACCATCCAGTCATAAACATTTAACTGTCCCTGAAGATAATTTGGGATAGTCTAAAGGGCTGCAAAAAGTCAGTTTTTCTGCACGCGTTTTTCAAGGACAATGAAATCTATTGTTCTCTATGTGCCCTGTTCACCCCACAACACTAGTATCACGAGGATTTTATTTCTGTGCAGGAATCTGCAACGTGTATAAAACTCATTGAAATATGCATGTAAACTGATATCTCTGCAAGTGAAATATGTGCGTCAAGTTTCCATCAGTTTTTCTGCACGTATGGCATGAACGAGACCTTACGCTTGCAGGTCCAGCCCTGCATCTGATGATTGCTGCAGTTTGTTTATCAAGCTGTAGCTAATTAGACTAGGGAAATGAACAATCGGCAGTATCCTGTGTTCCCGGGCCTAGTTCTAGCAGCACACTTACAGAAGTTACCTTTCATGCATTTCTGTGTTAATGTCCTAGAACATCATGACACAGATTTCCAGAATGGCTCTCATTTCTGTCTATATGCATGAAATCTTATGACTAAAAGCCTGGATAGCTGATGCTGCCTGTATTGGTGCCTCGCTTTTGAAGGTGGTCTCTTTTGTTCATGCATTTGACAAGTTTATAAAAGCGGTCACAGGAGGAAAAGTCCTTCTTCCAACAAGGAAGGCTCCAACCCCTCTACCTTCAACCCTCTCCAGGTCTTCTACTTTCTCTAAAACGAGCACCCCGGGGGGTCTCCCCAGGTTTCAACGTCAAAGCCAAAATTAAACCTACTCTGCACCTCTTTTCTTATCTTTCTACCATTGGGAGAGACCAAAATCTGGCCTTAAGCACTCTTAAGTGGACAGTTTTCAGCCTAATCCATTTTGTCTAGAAACCCTTGGCTTTGCTTTTCTTTGTTAGAGCCCTGTTCAAGGTGTCCCGCGGATCAGACCCCCCTACAGCACCCTGTACTTATTTTGGATATCAACTTTGCCTTTGCTGCCTTACAATAAACATCATTTCAGACCATTAGGGAACTCCCCTTGGGTAATCTCTTCTGAAAAGTGGCCCTCTTGGTGGGTATCACGACTGTCAGAAGCGTTTTTTTTTTGAGTTAGCTCTCTTGTAAAGGTAGTACCAGCCTTCCACCTCTATCAGAACTTTGTCCTTCCTTCCTTGTTCCCTGCTCCAAAGCATCCTAGAGAAATTGCTCTACATTGTCTGGACATGGTCAGAGCTGTCAGGGTCTGTTTGATAGCCATAGCCTTTATCTGAAAAACAGACTCCCATTGCATTGCAGACATCCTCATAAAGGACACCCTTTTTCGAAGTCCATTATTGCACCCGTATACTATATTCAAAAGTTTGTCATGTCTTCCTTTTCCCTTCTTTCCTCCAGACTACATATTAAGTTTGA